CTGGCAAGCTTCACCTTCCCTGAACCCCAGCCATGGCTTAAATGGTCCTCCTACATGACCCCTTCTCCTGCCCCAGGCTAGATGCTTGAGGTTGACTTTTGGGTCTGAGCAGAAACCCTTTCAAAGCCCTTCCTTCCTCCTAGCATGTGTTTTGAAGGCTCCTCATAAAACTAACTTGCTGATTTCTGTTCAGCATTGTCTGAAAACAATTCTTGTGCCTAAATAAAGCAAAAGCAATTAAGGAAATCCTTATAAACAAGTGTCTGAGCCCAGCCCAAATTTGGACAGAAGTGCTGAGTTGGAGTCCTTTGTCAACCACTCCTAAACATGGGCTTTGGCAACGTCATTTCAAGCCGTGTTCATCTTCAACTATAGCTACAGCAATGAGTCTTGGTGAATATTTTACTGTAACTGAAGAGGTAGCATATGCTAATGACCGTTGTAAAGGGCCAGCCAAGTGCCATGGCGGAATGGAAATAAGGGTGGGTGCTCTCACATCCCATGGTCACAAGGGATTCAGAAAGGTGGAGAGAAAAACACATTTCTGATGTGGGGGAAATATGAAAATCTGTAGGTAATGAAATATTCAAGCAGTCACTACTTTAAGAAGATTTATTTTACTTTGAATTGTGTGTATGTGAGGGGACATGGGGTCATGAGTGCTGAGGTGGCCCATGGAGGCCAGAAGAGAGCAACAGACTTCCTGGGACTGAAGTTTAAAGGGCCTGTGAGCTCCCTGATGTAGGTGCTGGGACCCAAACTATGGTCCTCTTCGAGTAAGTTTATGTATCTGACTGCTGAGCCAGCTCTAGTCAGAAGGAGATCCATTTTTAAGATCTGAAGCTGAGTAGATACCATGATGTCTTTCTAAGTTGACATCCCAGCTTGTTTGTGAATGCAGCATTAAAGATATAGGGTCCCCCTATGGCTGTGAGCACCAATGGGATTCTTCCCTATATCACCTCAGGAGCCCTGGATAAGCCAGTCCCAAATATGGCTGTCCCTTATACATCAACAGGTCTGTAACTTCTCCGCAACGTTCTTTTTCTTTTTTAGTAAAATTTTCTCTTTCATATGACATATTTTCATCATATTTTCCTCGATCAGATTTGCCCACCTGCCTGCACATCCAACTCTACAATTTCTCTCTCAAAACAAACAAAAGGAACCTCCCATAGAAACACAAAAAAGAAAATCAAAGCAAATAAGCAAAAGAACTAACAAGACAAAAAATGCCCAAATTAAAAAGGAGGCCACCCCCCCCAAAAAAACCCAAAACAATCAAACAAAAAACAAACAAACATAAAACCCCAAAATGCTTAGAGTTCATTCTGTGCTGGTGAACTACTCCAGAGCATAGGACCTGCCCTGGAATGTGGTTATTATAGTCAATGACACTCTATCTTAGAAAAGAGATTTTCCCTTTGCTAGTGGTATCAATTGCAAGCAGCTTCTTGGTTAAGGGTGGGAGCCAGTGTCCACTTCTCCCTCTCAGTGCTGAGACCCCATCTGTCTTGAACCTGTGTGTGCTACCTTGGTCTCTGTGAGCTCATGAACTCACCGATTCCTTGAAGTCATCCACCCCTCTGACTCCTACAATCTTTCAGCCTCCTCTTCCGTATAGGTCCCTGAGCCTTGAGGGACAGGGTTTGATGAAGACATCCTAATTAGGACTGAGTGTTCTGAAGTCTCTCACTCTGCACATTGTCCAGTTGTGTGTCTGTGTTAATTCCCATCTATTGCAAGAAGAAGCTTCTCTAATGAGGGTTGAGGGAGACACTGACCAATGGGTATCGCAACACATCATTACGAGTCATTTGATTGCTATTTGCTTTTATCGGAATCTTACTAGTAGGGTTTCCCCTAGCAGAGACCACTATTTCTTAATGAATATGCCTCCAGGCCTTAAATTCCTTATGCCTCCCAGCTTCCTTTACTTTTGTGTATGGTATGATTTCTCCCTGACAGACCTATTACATTTCTTTCTTTATTCAGCATTTCTTCCCTGGTTAATATCTTATGTCAGCTTGCACCCAGAGTTTTGGTCAGGCACTCTGCATGTGTCCTGAGATGAATATTCAGATTGATGTGCTGTGAACAAAGCAGCTAATCCTCAGTATTAGAGGTGGACCTCATCCAGTCTGTTGAATGCTTTACTAAACAAACGGCAGCCTGCTCATCTTCTCAGTAAGAAAGGTTTCTGTCCCCAGACTGCCTTAGGACTCGAGATGCAGTTTTTCTGGTTGGTGACTTATACCATCTGATCTGAGGGCTGACACAGCCCATTCTTTAAATATCCGTCTCCCGAAATCAATCTCTCTCTCTCTCTCTCTCTCTCTCTCTCTCTCTCTCTCTCTCTCTCTCTCTCTCTCTCTCTCTCTCTCTCTCTCTCTCTCTCTCTCTCTCTCTCTCTCTCTCTCTCTCTCTCTCTCTCTCTCTCTCTCTCTCTCTCTCTCTCTCTCTCTCTCACACACACACACACACACACACACCACACACATACACTTCCCTGGTGATAATTTTCTATTTCCTGGGTGTCAAATGCACTCCCTTATATATAAACAATAGTAGGAAGAATCTATCTTTCCATTGGCTTGTCATCAAGCATCTACCAGACAATGTGTGACCCACAGTAGGTACTCAGCAGTGCATTTGCTTACCTATACTTCTTCCAGCAGACTGTAATACCAAGGTTTCTCTTGCTTTAAAATGTCTTTCTTAGCAAGGTGGGTATTTAGATAACTTGTATTTCCCTCTTTCCCCTCTTGTCATTTGCCATAGTTTACCTACTTTTCTGATCCTTAACTCCCTTTATGCTTTTTTTTTTCTGCTTCTCAGAAAACAAAACAAAACAAAAAGTGCTCAGAACATTTGGATTTGTGTGGGCTTCCTGCCCATCATAATTGAAATGCCCCAGTCTCTGCCTAAATAGTTTCAGTTAGACCATTGCACTCTACAAAGATGAGTACATGCAAACTTTTTAAAATGCAAACTGTGTGCAGTGCGGCTTGCCTTACCTCTGCAAATAGTCAGGACATGCACTTCAGAGCATATTTCTTTTGGCACCTGACATAATTCGTTGATGTGGTAGTAAGCAAGGACCTTTTCCTGAAGAAATCAACTCTGTGGAGTACATGTGACTATGTCAGAAAGGAGGTTGCTGCCGGGATAGCGCTAGAGTCTTGTGACTCTACTCATCTTGATTGTGGATTTCACATTCTCAGATTCTGAATGGGTTTTGGATAATGATTCCCTGTCTCGAGTACACTTAAAGTACTCAGGCATACTAGGCAAGTTTGCTACCTTTGGGCTACTTGCCCGGGCCTCCTTTATAAACAACAACAAAGGCAACCTTTATATTTTGAGAGGGTCTCCTTAAGTTGCCAAGCTGGCATTGACTTCACTTAGTAGTCCAGTAGACCTTGAATTTGAGGCCTCAGAATCGCAAGTAGCTAGGGTGAAGTAGGAGAGGGGTACATTTCTTTGAGAAAGCTCCAAATGGCATAACATATATGTCCTTTTCTGGAAAGGTACTACTAGCAGCAAATCTGTAAATGTATTGATTTCTGTCCTTCTGCTTTGGCTGCTTAACCATTTATGGTAGGAATCAAGGACTGCACATGTAGTTTCTCTTAGATGTTGGTTAAAATTTTCATACCAAGGACAGGCTGTACATCCACAGGGCACACACACACACACATGTACACACACACATTTAGGAACACTTGGGCATGAAGCTTGATTGCTTTAGATTTGTCAGTTTGGGCTAGCCCCAACCCTGTAAATGCCCTCTTTTTGAGTTTCAATCTGTGTCATTTTCTTGTTTCTACTGAAAAAAAAAAAAAAAAAAAAAAAAAAAAAAAAAAAAAAAAAAAACCAGAACTGACAGGTAACAAAAGCAAGTTTGACTCAACACTAACTTTACTCTTTACAGCAACCAACATGATAGATAGGAATCGTCCCTCCCTCCTCCAGGTGGTTGTTTAGATAACTGGCTTGACATTCTTGAGGTTGTGGGTTCAATCCCTCAGTAGGTTAAAATGTACTTAGAAATTCCAAGAAAGGAATCATGCAGGTGTTACCTCTAAGTTGCTTAAATACACATTTTTACTTATTTTCCCAAGGAACTCCAACTCTATAGCTAGCAAAGAAAAATTGGAAATAACTTCACTTGGAATTGTGGATTTATGTCTTCAGGAGAAAATAATTAAAATTAGATTTAAAGATTCATTCTCCATAAAGAAATATATATTCATGTATAGATATTTCCTGAACAAGGTGAAGAGACCTGTATGGATTTAGTGGAAAGATTATTGTATACTTGGACAACAGTGAAGTGTTGATCAGAGCTTTGATTCTGGTACTGGGTAGCAAGAAGAAATCATAGTTACGCTCTGAGTAAGTCTGATAGAAATGATCACTCTTACTTCATGATTAATATTTAAAGACAAAATACTAATCTCATTAACACATGAGGAAATTAAGGCACAGAAAAGTTAATCACCATTGGTGGCCGAAACTAGATTTCAAACTAGATTTGCTTTGAGTTTTCCCTGTATTTTGTTAGTGGAACTTCATGTTAACAGAAACAATAGTAATACTGCCACTTTCAGGGAACTTTTTTATTAAGGACTAGGCATTGTGCTAAGAGCTTTAAAGGCATGCTTGGTTCCATTTAATTATCACAACAGACCTGTGAGGTAGGGGCTGTTTCCACTGTTGAGATGAAGAGCCCGAGACTGATAGACCATATGGGATTTCCCGCCCTCCTCCCCCATCCCCAGGCATGGGACAGTAAATGGAGAAGGGCTTCTCTGTGTTTCTAGTGTAGGCTAGAAAAAACTGTGGTTGGACCTGCAGGGCCACAGAGTGCCGCTCCTCTGGCTATCATCAGCATGACCTTGCTTAGCCTGTACACAGATCCAGTCACTTCGGGTGGGTGCCGCATATTTCCCACATGGCTTGATTCAGAAATCACTAAGTATGTTTTTCTTCCACAGGTGTTTTCGGGATCACAGTTAAGTGTTGGTACCCAAGAGGCTGAAAGCATCACCGAGAAGACCAAGTTGGGAAGGAATGTTCGGGAGACTGAGACTAGCTGCCCAAAAGGATTATATCTTGGGGGTAAATTTTGCTGTCAACCATGCCAGCCTGGTAGGTCACACGGAGCATCCAGAGATGAGTGGGAGAATCAGGGGGAGGGATTGAGATGCCCTAGGGGTAAGAATGTGTTGAACAGTTAGGTATACAGCTATTGGGCTGTCCTATTAGTAGATAGAGTCACACAGGGGAGGCGGAACTATAAAATTATCTTCCAAACACAAACCGTTTTTTTTTTTTTTCATCTTTATTATGTTTCTCTGGGGTGCTTATGAAGAAACAGAGTTTACAACTGTCATACATGTCTAAAATGAAAAGAATCATCTATTTAGCTGTTTCTCATGAACTAAGGAAAACCCATTTGTGAGGGTTAAAAACCTGTCATCTCAAAGCTGACCAGAGTGTTTTCTGACTACTTCTGTGGCTCCTTCAGCCAAGACCTTCCACTCTCAGTGGTATATCTCAACCCCTCTCCTCAGCCTATCGCTAAGGCTCTCTCTCTGCCCTGGCACAGAAGCCTGCAAAATACATTTGCATTTTGCAGCTGAATAACCAGATGAGCTAGAAAAGCAATGAACAGCAACCAACAGTTTTTCAAAAATCAGTGTTTTGAAATGCAAATCACTTTCATGCTGGAACTCTTTCAAGCACCAGCAAATGAGAGGCTAAGGAAAATGTAATTTTGTAAACTTAGTTTCCACTTTGGGGTTGTCCACAGTCACTTACAAACACAGATCTGTCTCCAGTGCATTTAGAAGATAAAAAGGTGACCCAGTGGTATTTAGGTTTGTTTGACAGGTTTCAGGCAATAGTCATAGACCTCCAAAAGGCTTCTGTAGGTTTCATCGTTGGCCTCTCAGGCTTGCAGTACCAGAAGTACAAATCAGGCCCAAGTCATGCTCCTACAAAGACCTTCGGGCACCCTCCTGTCCAGGGTTTACTAAGCCTAGCAAGGAAGTTTCTCCTATGATACAACCTCCTCATACCTAAGTTCCTACACAGTTACTGTTTTCCAAACTGCAATTGGGAATCACTTATTGGGTTTTTTTTTTCTTAAGTTGCTGAAGACAATCAATTTATCCTATGAATTTTTTTTTTTTTTGAGTCAGGGTTTCTTTGAAACCTGTCCTAGAACTCTCTCTGTAGACCAAGCTGGCCTTGAACTCACAGAGATCCACCTGCCTCTGCCTCCCAAGTGCTGGGATCAAAGGTGTGTGCCATCACTGCCCTGGTTAGCCTGTGAATTTGATGTCTATATTTATAGTTTGAAAATTTGGAGTTTTATGTTTAAAATTTAAAGTGCAAGCTAAAACAAAGATGATGTGTTTTGTAGCTTTCAAAGAATTCTGCTGTGTGCGTTTACTGTGCTTTTGTCTTAGAGAAATCTCATGTCTGCTACAAACTTTAAGAAGGAAAATGGGCCATGTGTAGAAAACTGGACAATGTCATTGCCCAGTGACACAATGATGGGTTATTTATAGCAGAATGCATTAAAACTTGAAAGTTTTGTGTGTGTGGCATTTCATTTTGATAACCAACAATGTAGGATTGTGCATGTAAATTCTGCAGTAATCAAAGCCTGGGATAGTTTCTATCAATCAAAGTCTAAGTGCAACCACATTTCTGATATATGCTTAATCTAATCCTCAGTTGTACTGATTTTTTTTTAGCAGTTGATAACTGGCATTCTGGTTGTACTAAAGGTTTTTCTCTGTCTGCCCCTTCACTAATATATCCCCCGTGGTATCCAACACACATAGAACACTTGCATCACTATTATTCTCTCTGGTTGAATTTTAGGCTTACCAACATTCAAGTTAGGTTCAAATCCATTTACAGTGTTGGTGATCTGATAGTAAGATATAGTAATGATGATATAAATCAGTGAATATCAGATATTGGAAAATGGTGTTTTATTTTTAAGGAAACTAGGCTGAATATTTTGGAGACATACAAACTGTTGGTGTGATAAAGCTTTCTTTTTCATCAAAAGGAAGGGGAGTGGGAGAAGGGGGTGGAGGGAAGATGAACAGAAACCACAGGCGATGCATTGTGGATATGACTTAAGTGAAAAAGTCTACAACTTCTCTCTATGTCAAATGATTAGCATACTTTTATAGTCTCTTTAAAATAGAAATAAAATATATTTTTCAGTGATCACACATGTGAATTGATATTTTTGGTTGATTATAATACACTGTGTACATTTACAGAAATTTAAAAAATAAAAATCAAATACTTGAGAAGTTTTCATCACATCTTGATATCCAATAGGAGAAATCCAAAAGTGTATTTCTTATTTATTATATTTACATATATACACATATCCACTGCCTCTATACTACTATATATACATATATGTGTAGACATAGTGTATTTGCATGCATAAGAATGCAACAAAATAAGAAAATTCATATCTCAAGGTAGTTGGTATGTAGGTGTTTTTAATAATTTCCCATTTCTTCCAAAATTTCTGCAATAAGCAAGTGTGTGGCTATCAGAAAATTACATGTTTTGAAATCCTGTTTTTTTGTTGTTCTTTTTTGGTAACTTTTTTGTAGTTTAGGAAATTTAGATTGTGTACTTTAGGGGAAATAATCTTTTTTTAGGATTAAAATGATAAATTTTATTTTATTTTTTTAACCATATTGAGAAAGAGGAGGGCAAATTCCCTTTTCTTTATTCCTCTTTTTTTTAAATTTGAATTAGAAACAAGATTGTTTTACATGTCAATCCCAGTACCCTCTCCCTCTCCTCTTCCCCTACCACCCCCTCCCCCAATCTTAATTGTTGAAGATGGAGTTTCTGTCTGCCTGGTTCCACTGCCCTTCAGTTCCAAATAAACACACAGAGACTTATATTAATTATAAACTGTTTGGCCAATGCTCAGACTTCTTACTGGCTAGCTCTCTCTTAGTTATTAACCCATTTCTATTGTACTATTTATTGCCACGAGGCTATGGCTTACCAGTAATGTTCCTGCATGTTACTCCTTTGGTGGCTATGGGACATCTCTCTGGCAACTCACTCTCTGTGTCCTCTCCCAGAATTCTCCTAGTCTAGTAGCCCTGCTTATACTTTCTGCCTGGCTGAAATACTGGCCAATCAACATTTATTCATTAACCAATAAGAGAAACATATATTCACAGCATACAGAATGACATCCCCCATCAAATTGTATTCATATAAAGCAAACAATGGTTTCAGGTGTTGTCCTTAACACTTTGGCTGGCTCTTGGGAACCTATTCCACAAACTGTGTTGCCTTGCCCAACCTAAATAAATACAAAGGGCAGGTGTGGGAGGAAATGGGGGAGAGGAGGTAGTAGAAACTGTGGTCAGTATATAAAATAAACAATTATATTTTAAAAATCAAAAAAATGCTAGACAGCATCTATAAGTTAGCTTATTAGATATTTCAGTTCACTTAGACAGCAGTGTCATACCACCTGCATGGAACACAATGCCTCCTCTCCTCTGTCCCCAGTAGAATACTGCTATAAAGGCTTGTGTAGCTCTGATGTGCCATTTGACTTTAGCTCTAGATTTTCATGGTTCACCTTTTAAAACAGACTTGTTGGTGTTTACTAAAAGATCACAGGATGTCATTTATATTTTCATTTAGTGACTCACGTTACATAGTAAATGTTGTTTCCACAACAAGCGTTCTATGAGGAAATTCACCAAGTCAAGGAGTAGGAAACACAGCATAGATGACCCTTGCTGCTCTGTGCTCGTTGAACAGAGTTGACTGCGTTTGTCTGTTGTCATCATTTACACCATTAGTGACTAGAGTTGCTAGCACTGCATCTCTGCTGTGCTTCCCTGCATATTTTGCAGAAGTTTCCTCTTTATTCACTACCCACTACTACTTGCTGCCGCTTGGCATCTCTGCCTGAGAAGGTGAAGGCCCCGGAAACTAATGTTTTGTCTTACTTCCTGCAGGACTTCCTTCAGCTCCTAGAGATCCCTTAGCACACAATAGGCACTTAATAAACACTTGTTAAATATGTTATCTTTCCAGAAGGCATTGTTCCATAATTCTTAGTCACTGAAATAGGAAGACTTACTTTAATAAATCAAAGCAAAGATGAATATTATTTGAAATTGTTTACAATAATAACAAATCCTATGGTATCTTATTAGAAATATGTTTGTGTTTGTCTGCAAAACGTACTGCTTTCCTGGGTAGAAAATAAACAGAAACGGGGGAGAAGGAACTGTGACTATCTACTTGGTGGCACGTGCATGGTTCAGATGGTAATGACAGAGAAGTCTTCATCATTCATAGGACAAAAGTTAGGCTTACAGACAGTAAGCACTCTGTCAAAGATTTGATGGCAATTTCTAGACACTCCCAATGTTCTTTTTCCCGGGATTTGTGGACTTGGGAAAATAAAATGAGAATCACAACAATTTCGTTTGGTAATCTCTGAGGCCAAAGGCAGCCACCTCTACCATCTACCCAGTTTCTTCTCTTTAAAGAGGTACACTTGGTCACTCTGATTGACTCTTTCCCCATGTGTTTCTGTTGCTCATCTACTTTTTATGGGAATGTTTTTTGCCTTTTGCTATTGAAAGGCTCTTAATGTGATTCCTCAGCACCCCCTCCAGTAGCTATTTGTCTTTCCCATGCATTTACATAGAATTAGCCTAACAAGTCGTTCCCTGATTCTTAAGATTTGTTATTATCATCTTTCCATACTGCCCATGCTGTTACATGGCGACTGCCCAGGCTTCAAAAATTTGATATCCTTTTATCCCATGATAGGTGAACGAAAACATTTGGACTGTACAGTCAGTGGTGGTAAACCAAGCTGCCTTCCCTGCACGGAAGGGAAGGAATACATGGACAAGGAACACTATTCTGATAAATGCAGAAGATGTGCACTGTGTGATGAAGGGCACGGTATGTATCTCAGAAAGCAATTGAAAGAGGCTGATCTTGCTATCATCTATGACACCCTCTGAGATTGGGACCTCCTCTGGTACCATGCTGGCATACAGGAAGGAGCAGAATGAGGCTAGCTGGGGAATATGGAGCTAAGGGAGTAATCACTTTTAAAGGTCTTCTCAGCAAGTCTCCCAAATGGAGACAAAGGACTCAATAACCCTGTGAGTGGAGACACACCAGCCGCAAATAAAGCCACCCACAGAAGCCAATGTCCCCACGTCTATTTAAACTTATGGCTCTTCTCTATGGCCATACAAAGAAACCCAAGGTGTTGGGAGGACATCCCCTCAGCTTTGGGGATCTGGTCTGTCTGTCAACATCATTTTACTTGGGGACCTAAAATTTTGTAGCTATATCAATTTATTCTCAAATCTAAGAAGAAAACAAACCAAAATGACAGCAACAGCCATATTTTGGCTTGATATCAAGGAAACCCTGGGCATCATGTTTTAAAGCTCTCTCTCTCTCTCTCTCTCTCTCTCTCTCTCTCTCTCTTAAAGCTTTTACACCAGACTGTAAAGAAGTGATGCCAAACCCTGTTTATACATTAGAGTTGCTTAAGAAGCTATTGAAATACTAATGCTTAGGTCTCAGCTCCCAAATAAATCAGAATTTCCAAGTGGAGCCTGAGCACATGTCTGTTTAAGCCTAGTTTAGGCTTATCTTGCAGCATTCCAACATGCTAGACATGATGGTGGTGGTGGTGATGGTGGTGGTTTTCCAGGCCATGTATTTAAGGCTCAAGGCTCTCAATTAAAGGATTGGAGGGACCATCTAAGCACTGTTGGGGAGAGTCTGACTCTCTGGTCTATCTACCCACTAACAACTCTACTTGATTGTTGGTTCTTTCAACCCAATACTGCCGTTTTTGTTAGTAAACACTGTTATTAAAGGTGTGATGGTGTAACAGTTGATAATAAGCAGTAGATGTGGCCATTATTTTCATAGCTTATTTTTAACTAGCTGCTACAAAGAATAATTTATGAACTGGCTTTCTAGGTTTAGAAGTGGAAACAAACTGCACCTTGACCCAGAATACCAAGTGCAGGTGCAAACACAACTTCTATTGCAACGCTTCTGTCTGCGAACACTGTGATCCTTGCACTGTGTAAGTTTCCATATTAAGTGCCTAAAATACTAGCTATAACTTAGGAGATCGTACCTTCCTAGAGAAGAGCCACACTGAGTGGGAGTTAGGAACTGAGTTCTGTTCTTGTTTCCCATTTGCTCAGTTACCATCAATCAGCACTGGACATCACTGAGCACTTTCCAGCCCCCAAACATTACCAAAACTGTTCAAGTGACCCTGCTGGCTGCTTAGGTTAGTGAAAGGAGATGTGTGACTGTTATCAAGGTTTTGGTGCTCAGAGCAAAGAAGGCAAAAAAGCCAATGCTTATTGCATGTCAACATTTTATAGAGTATGGCAAGCATAGAACATTTGTGCTTGGAGTGGTGCAAGTTATGCACAAGACCTTTTGACTCTGTGTGGAAGGTGGGAGCCTTAAGGAGGCAAGAAACAGCATTACGTGTAGGTGGAAGTGTGTTCAGGCAGGGAACAACAGCTCTAAAGAGTCATAGGTAACTCTCATATCTGCTGGAGGGTAAAAAAGCCTGAAAAGGAATTATCATGAAGTCTTTGTCATGATACTAAAGAGCTTGCTTTTGACTCAAAGCTAGAAAACCTGGATGCACTGCTCACCTGGCTGCTGATGAATTTGGCTAGTTTGAGCAGATCACTTAACCCATCTGAACTTCAGTATATTTAATTAGCTCTACCCACCTGCCACATTTCTCTGGTGATTACACTAGCTACTACACATTTCTCTGGTGATTACACTAGCTACTACGAGTTGCAGGCACAGCTTTTGCATCTCAGGATACACTTTAGTGGTAGAGCACTTGCCCAGCAAGTGCAAGGTCTTGGGTTCAATTTCCAGCACTGAATGAAAAGTAGCTACTGGTTTACAAGATGTTGGTTTTCTATAAAATGCTTAGAACTGCTATTTCCGTGCCATTCCATAGGTCTATAACTTGCCTTTGGAACCTATGGGCATGCATATATATATTAGGGTTAAGGAAAGAAAATACAGCTCTTCTTTATTGTCCTTGAATGTTTACATATACACATTAATATACACAAGCATACACATATACATACGCATAGATACGTGTATATGTACACATGTAAAAATTCACATATGCATACATTACATTAACCCACCCACTGTATGAGTTAAGTGGGACCACCTTGGTGCAGAGAAATCAAGCTTACATATACTTTTACATTTAGATATTAGTTTTACATGGCAATTTTTATAAGCTCACTTATTTTCAAGCTAAGAAGTGTTTCTTTTTTAAAATGTCAGATTTCAATTAGGATCAAGCAGAAATTTCTTTAGATAATTTTTATGTATGTCTTGATTTGATTCAGTGTATTCTTAGGTTTTCTGATAATTTTGATATGTAACTGTTATAATCATAGTGATCTGAAAAACACAGTCTATGAATGATTCAGACAGAGACACCACATTAAGAGAAATCAAGGGTTAGCTCTGTCTTTTCCTCAAATTATGAATTACTTAGATGTTTCTTAACTGATGCTCTGGTGATTAGGAATTTCTTATGAATGAATCATATTCTCAGTAAAGATGATTTATCTCAGTCCATAACTCATATTGAACATAAAGTGTACATATGTCAGAGCTTTCTCCTTTGAAATATTAACATTCTATTATTAACGTCTGAAAAGATGATTATTTTGCTAAAATTCCTTGTGCTATCAACATTTTCCTATTAAATAATCAGCCTCATTTAGTGAAAACAATTATCTCCCTGGGACTGAGCATCCATGACCCAGCCTCAGATAGTTTACTTTTTTAAACAGAGTTTCAACAGAGTTTTTTGAAGCTGCAAATGCATGTCAGAGACCCGATGCTTCCTATCTTATTTATTAGAAAAATCATTTGTGTTGTTATCTTTGCTCTTCTCTCTAGCTCCAAGTGTCTGAGAGTGATGAGGTACAAGGTGGGGGTGGCAGGGAAGTTAATTAACTTGGTCCCAAGTAATAACCCGGCAATAGCTCTGTATACTTTACAATTACAATTCAGTTTTCTTCTCACTGGCACTCTGAGTTATAGTGTAATTGTCTCCATGCTGCCGGTGAACTCACAGGCTCCAGGAGGTTACCTGATCTCTCAGCACACCTGCATAGGCTGCAGGAAGAGGTGGGCTGTGAACTTGGACTGTCAGAGTTTCCCTCTCCAAAGAAAACCCCACAAGTGCCTCTTGACTGTCCTGGTCACTAGGGCCCTGGGCAGCATCCTAGGTAGTGGCTCCTTTCATGCCGTTTTATTGATTTATGAGACTTGTTTTTTTTAAATTGCCCTTGATAAGTTATTTTTTAAAATAGCTTTTTTTAAAAAAAAGCTCTTGTATCTTAAGAACTCAATTTATTACCAACTTTATGTTTAGTTTTGTCTATCCCTTTCTTTTGTATATCAGTATTTTATTACCTTTTAAAAATCTTGATGTCACTCAGATCTTTAGTTTTATTTTTTAGATACATGGCACAGGGATAAGCACGTGACTGCAATGGTGTGGAGGCCAGAAAATGCTAGAGCTGGAGTTAGATGTGGCCCTGAGCTGCTCCGTGTGGGTTCTGGGAACTGAACTCTGATCCCCTTCGTAGGCAGCAAGACTCTTAACCACACAGCCATGTCTCTAACTCCAATATCTTAAAGGAGATGTAACATTGTTCACACGAACACCCAATCACAGTTCTTAGCTTGTAACAGCTTTTGATGGTGATCTAGAAATGTCAGGGGGGAAACAAGTGCCAGAGATGAAAGGGCAAATAAAAAGAACCGTAATCTGTAATGTACAATGAAAGACCGAAGGAATCTATGCAGGTCATCTAAGTTTCTTCTGCGTTTTCCCTCTAGGTGTGAACATGGAACCCTTGAGGAGTGCACACGAACCAGCAATACCAAATGCAAGCAAGAAAGTAATCATTTGTTTCTATGACTACATCCCTTCCCCATCCCCGTCCTCATGTCAGAATAAAAGCTTGTTGGCTTGTTATTGATTGAGAGAGCAGAGCTTTACTTTATCTTAAAAGCTGCTTAATTGCATATAAAATGTTCAATATTCTCCACTTCAGGTTCCAGACACCATTTCCTATGGTTGTTCATCATCCCTGTTTGGGTAATAGTATTTGGTAAGTCCTCTATTTCTTTGAAGTGTACATTCAAATGACATGAGAAGTAGCCACTATGCCCAATGAGAAGTCACAGAAAGCCAGGCAGAGCGTGACAATGATACCTGGTGAACATGAACTTCTCTGGGCCTGCCCTCCCTCAATAAACCATTTATTTTAATGTATATTTAATTTTTATGTTTATTTATTTTTAATTACCCTATTATTTTGTGTTTTTACTTAAAACTTATGATGTGTTTGCCAGTAGTTAAGGGAAAGCTGTGTATCATCATAGTTACTCTGGAAAATCACCTTGAGGCCTGGCAATGATAAGATCCACCAAGTACCAGTGACTCAGAATCTTCTCATTTTTCCTTCTTTGTTGGAACAAGTAACTGTCCCTTAGTTCACTTTTCTTAGTGTGAGGATTTCCTATCAGAACGGAATGTGAGTCTGACAGCAATCCCTTTGGTCTTTCAGTGTTTATCTTTGGTCTTTCAGTGCTTATATATAAAAAGTATTGGAAAAGACGTCCCAATGACCCTGAATCTGGGATCTCAAATTCTGTGAGTATACAAAGTCTTTCTTGAAAAAAAATGAAAGAAAGAAAGAAAATTAGTACATTCTTTGAAACAAGTATGTGGGTACATAAAGTCACATCAGCTTTCTTGAAAAAAAAAACAGAAGAAAGGAAGAAACAAAATTAGTACATTCTTTAGAAAAAATGTATAACTCAATTAAAACCATAAAATAAAATTAAATAAAAAATGTGTTTGTTCATGCACAGGTTAGAGCAACATTAATAATGAGTTAACAGGGCAGCTGCTAATTTATTAGTAAGTTTTTTTTGGGGGGTGCTACCTAAAAGCATCTACCTCTATAGCCATTTGAGTGGAGATGGAGCCTGTAGTGATCTACATACTCTCTGTTGGGCAGCACAATGAAGCATGGTATTGGAAAGGAGCATGGAACTTGGTGTTAAAGACTCTTTTACCAGAGTTTTCCAAAGGAAGAAGTTGATTTTGGACCCCTTACTGACCCAGAAGAGCACTCAAAACCAGAAGCAGATTTTGTCAACCTGTATTTATATGTTGCCTTCAGCATTTACAGTGGATAGTGGTCAAGGTTGCTGTCAGTCTACTGGCTGTTTCCAGGGAATGATGTCAGACCGAATCGTCACAGCACTCATGCACACATACATTATTTATCTGGTCAAGGGACATGACTATAGAGAGTATAGTTTAAGATTAAAGTTATGCATTAAAGTTAACTTATAAAAAACTTGATTATAGGGGGAGTCCAAGGCCTTGGATTGGTTGTATTATTTTCTCAAGGGTGAGTCAAATTTAAACAGTAACGAAACAGACTGAATAGATAGTTTTAAATAGTTTCAAAGCTTATTACTAAATTGGGCTAAAAAAGTTGGACTTCTGAAGGTAGGCTTACAAGGGGTATTTTTCTAGAATAAAATAAATCCTTACAAGGCTTTACACAAATACTATAAGGAGCAATAAAGGAGCTTGGAAGCCTTCCAGTGTGAGCTGGAAAAGAGATGTGTAAAGCGCCATGTTTCACCTTGCTATTTTCCTTGCAGAAATGCCATTAACCAAAATACGATACTCAGATTCCAAACCCCAGCCAAGACTTTGCTCTTAAAGTCCACCTAACAGTCACAGTATGGCTCTCTCTAGCTAGCTGTGGAACTAATGCTAGACAGTATTTAACACAGGAATATGAAACCTTTAGAGTCAAAATTGAATGAGTGAAAGAAATCATCTTAATCACAAAGTCCAATTTTCTAATTATGTATATCTAGCAGACAATTGTATAACATTTGCTTCTGAATTTAGAAAGAATTAAATGACATTTAAGTATGTATTTGTCACTCTACCTCTGTTTTATTCTTCCCAGGAAAACATGCCAATGATTTCCTCAGGTAAGTCTTTCTATTATCTTATTTCACAGAAGTGTCTTTCTTTGTCAGAACAAGCCTAAATCAGAACAGACTAACATTTTTGAGTGAAATAATGTTCAAATTTCAGTGACATTTTAGGCTGTCACTTAAACTGTCAGTTCTATCAATAGTTTAAATTTATAATAGTCTTAATTAAAAATAAACCAGGCAGTGATAAGACCATTTATTATGAGAGGTTTAAGAAAAATTTTCTTCACAACCAGTTAGTTGTATCACAAAACTTCTTATAAACTGATGTTCAAGTCAAGTGGAACCATAGCCTCAGAATTTTCTCACCTCTGCAACATGTCCAATTCTGTTTGGTTCTGTCCTTTGACCTGTGACTTGGAGACAGGAAGAACTGTCCTTTTAGGTTGTGGGTCTGGTCATCAGGTCTCTAGGGGGCATTAGGCACAATCTTTTTTTAAGCTTCTGATGTCACGAATGAGATATGAAGACATAAAGATATCTAGTGTCACGGCCAGCTCAGAGAATAAACTATAGGAGCCACAGCAGGCTTGAGAGGACAACAGATGCTTATTCTGTCTGCATCTATAGGACCCACCCATTCTCCAAATTTTAAGGGGAGAAGTAAACATGGCTTCAGTAATGGAATGATAGAATGACATTTTCAGACACTATTTTCTGTTTTTCAGATGTTGACTTGAGTAAATACATCCTGGCTATTGCTGAACTCATGGAATTAGACAAAGTTAAAAAATTTGTTCGGAAGAATGGGATCTCTGAAACAAAGATAGATGAGATCAAGAATGACTATTTCCAAAACACAGCTGAGCAGAAAATCCAGATGCTTCAGTGGTGGTATCAATCTCATGGGAAGAAGGACGCATATCACACTTTAATTAAAAGCCTCAAAAAAATCAACTGTTGCGCTCTTGCAGAAAGAATTCAGGACATAGTCATGAAAGACATTAAAAACTCAACTTCAGACAACAGAAATGAAAATGAAAGTGAAAACTACCTCAGTTCAAGCTAGACAGAGAGAGAGAGAGAGAGAGAGAGAGAGAGAGAGAGAGAGAATCTTTTAAACCAATACTGTGGCTGAGGTCTGAGTCAGCAGCATTGCCGTGAGTTCAAAGCCAGACAGTACAACATAGTGAGCTCTGGAATAGCCTGGGTCATAGTGTAAGACCTTGTCTCAGAAATAACAATAACAACAAAAAAATACAAGGCAAGGAAGAACATTTTAAATAATGGAGGTCTATAAATGTTATTTGGCTTTTTATTGAGTATATTTTCTGTTTCCTTAGATTTACAGAGACAATATATTTATAAAATCGGAAGATTTCATGATTCTATTTTGAGTAATGTTAATATGTGTGTGGAGGACGGACAGGCGCAAAAGTAACTGCAGTAGTGATTTACGTACCCAGATAGAAGTTTACAGAGACGCGTATAAACTTCATATCATGCTCTAGCCAAGAGTATAGTTAGTGTGTGCTAGCCCACACCATTCCATGGTCACAGAAGGCATGACTTTGGCTATAAAGTCTTGCACATTCTGTAAAGCCTGTTTTCCCTAACCCCAACTCTAAGATAATCCTAGAGATGCAAAATGGCAACATAGATAGAAAAAGACTTGGCTAGCACTCCTCAGAACATATGCAAAGTTTGCACATGTATTTAAATGGAGAATTAAATAAGGTTCTGTCTCAAATATACTTTTTTTTTTTTTGCACAGACCATTGGTGTTTTGTGTTGTAGTATTTCAGATTTAAATTTGTGTGGATAATGTAGAATAAATGCGAATGCTTGAATATACTCTATTTATATATACCATTTTATTCTTGCAAAATAATTGGCTTGTTTCTCAGGTGTCAAAAGTGTTTTTGAATAGGAGTGAATCACTCCAGCCACACTGCCTCTCTGTTTTTTCCTTGTTGTTCAATCTGATACAGCCTTACACACTCCTAAACTTGGAAACATTCCTAAACCAGGACTGCCTTGGTAATTCTAACCTGTTTCGGAAGGAGGACTACATTGCTTTTCTAGAGGGTAGCTGTAGGGCATGTTATGGACTCACGCCTACCATCAATAGTGGGGACAAAATGAAAGCCCACTTGGTTGCCTTTAGCAACTCTTGGTATGTTCTCTTTCCCTGCAAATGACAGCTGATTCCCAGCAAAGGTAAAATGGCCAGAAGATTCCAGGAATTGCTTCTGTTCTTCTCTTCTGGTTCTGAAACCGTTTCTTCCATCTACTGCCATGTTGTATTAAATGTGAATTGGAATCTGCAGTGTTTGTGTTTATATTCATATACTGTGAAAAGGGAAACAAATACTAGCAGTTACCTCAAGATCTTCCACTGATGGGGGATTCTTTCCCTCTATGTATGGAAATGTATAATAGAGGAAATGATTTTTTAAATTAAAGTACAATTTTGGCATTTCTAGCTCTCTTGCTCATTGTTTTATTTTCCTTCACCCAAGTGACCACTTAAGTGTTACCTGTTCAGTGAATCGTCAAAACTTGCTTTGACTTCTGAGGAGGAAATTCCTTTTGTAAAGCCTTTTAACAGTTAAACGGTTTGTTCCATGGTTGTTACTGTCAAGAATATTCCCAAATAGAACACAGACATTTGTCAAACAGGAGCACCGATATATGGGTAGAAAATACAAATGTTAATTGGTGGGGGTTTTTGTTTTGTTTTGTTTTGTTTTGTTTTTAAAGTGAGCTTCAAGGAGGAAATACTCTAGCTACTTGTAACCACTAGCCCATTGGCTCTCCTCTTTCTTTCTCTCTCTCTTTCTCTCCAAGAAGCCCTTAAAAATCTATTTGTTACCTTGGTTTTATTTCTATTTTTGAGACTATCATCTGAACACAGAAATTCATACAACAATAGCTTTCATGCTCAAATCAAATTTAGCTGAAGCTACTTAACAGTCACAGAAAGTAAGCATAGTAGTATTTAGGGGAAGTGTGACTATGGCTCATATATTACCCTATCAAACAACTAAAGAGGCTTTGAGGATCTCCTACATGTGGGAGGTACCCTCCCCTGCCCCTGAAGTCAGTGGCACAAAGCAATCCTCTTTTCCTATCACGAAATTTTCTTTCATGTCTTTAAATTTTTTTAATTACAGTAATACATTTATTTAACCCAATATTTCCAAGAATATGCATTTTAGCAGGCAGTCAGTATTAAAACTATTAACTAGAACTGGAAGAGCAGCTTTGCACAGTAAGGCCGTGGATTCAGTCCCCAGCAACACAATTAAACAAAGCAACTCTCCCTAAAAAAATAAACAAACAAACAAAAATACTACTAACAAAGCATTGTTGATAAGACAGCTTACATTCCCCCATAAAGTCTTAAACTATGGCTTGTATTTTAATTACACCTGTAAGCATATCTCCTTTTTGGTTACCCACACAGTTCATATATCCAGTGTCCACATGAGGACAGTGGCTACCCCAGAAGATACTTTTCATCTTTCTCTCTGTTATAGAGTCCTAGAATAACTGTAACTCTATGACCAGTTAGCTCTACTAGTTTAAGTCTGGATTTTCTGGGTATGTGATCCTAGACAGCTTTTCTGTAGTGGGTTGGAAGTCCAGCATCTCCCATCCATGAGTTAGTTGCTTTGGGGAAATGTTTTGCTTACATCCATCTGTAGCTGTTCTTTCACCTAAAATTTTTCTTTGCCTGACTCTTGGAGCCTCACTGTCTTGAGGAAAGTCAATCACAACCTGTTCATCTGTGTAGCCTGCTTCCCTCTAGGATCCATTCTATCCAGGCCAACGTGACAGCCTCCTGAACTCCAGCTCTGCTCTTTAGCTTGGCAGATGACTGCTTTTCTTGGGAAACCTGATTGCTGTGGTCTCAAAGAGCCCTTAGGAAGAAATATTGAGTGGCATTGGGATCTGCCTCCATTTCTCCACCGACAGATGATGGGTCTGGGCTCTCCTACCCAGCTTTCTAGTTGGAAACAGCAGAAGGGCAAGCCCAGTACAGTTGTTGGGTCTGCAGTGAAACTCCCACTCTTCAAGGTGAAATTAGCTGTGAGAACATACTGTGCCTATGTTGATGAGGTTGAACTTGAACCAAGAACTTTTAGTCCCTTTGAAAAGGTTTTGTTCTTGAGGATGCGACTCTTTCCCCTCTGGCGTCACCCAGAGACTCCAGGAATGAATGAATGCTCCCACATCAATAATCATTGCTGTGTTCTGGACTTCAAGTGGCTTCTTGGTCCAAAGTTACATTTCTTTAGTGATCCACATCTTGTTGTGGTAGACATCCTGAGCCACCCAAATGTCATTTATGGGCATCAGAAAAAAGGCTATAATCGAAAAAAGTTCAGAGCCTCCATGGGTGTTGCATACTTAAACATCTTTAGTAAGTCCACAGTATTCACTAGTGTTTAGTTTGGCTAGGCACTGTGAGTACTGAATTGCCAATTTCTGTTCAGTGATCTGGATGAGGCACACAATGCAGCATTATTTACAGTTGTTTTCATCGATCTCTTCTGAATGTAAATTTATCCAGATCAGAATTTTATAGCAGGGGCTGGGATGTAGCTCCTCAGTAGACCACTTTGAGCATTCCTAAGGCCCTGGTATCAACTCCTATTTTCAAGAAAAACAAACAAACAAACAAACAAAGAGAAAAGCTACACAATGCCAGGTATTTGTAGTCTTCCCAGTACTTTAAAACCTGTTCATAAATACTGTTTCATGTTTGTTGCTGACGACATGCCCACTGCTAGTCTAACTATTCTTTTCTAGGTAACACTTTCTTTTCCTGTGGTAGATTTTGAAGCTTCCTCTACTACACTTCCTTGGTGTTCTGCAATTTCACTTAGAAGTTTCAATGTGGATATATTTATCTCTTCCTCCTCCCTCCTCCTAGTCATCCTGCTTCTTTTCCTGCTTCCCCCCCCATCCTCCTTGTTTTTGGACGTCTCTCTCTGTGGTCTAGGCCAGTCTGAAATTTGTGGCAATCCTCCTGCCTCCTTTGTTGGAATTACAGTGGACTTACTTTTAACTCATTTGCTAAGTAGTACATCTTTTAAAAGATTATTTATTTTATTTTTTGAGATTATGACATAATTATATCTTTCTTCCTTCCCTTCCCTCTCTCCAAACTCTTCCATTTACCCCCTCTTTTAAGCCTGTGGCCTCTTTCTCAAATTAATATATATATATCTCCTTCTCAGTCACTATTAACACTGCTAGTATGTTAATTTTCAGGGCTGACCATCTGATATTGGATAACCAGCTATGTGCTCTTCTCTGGGGAAGACTGTTTCTCCTGCTCTTGGCATTCTGTAGTTGTCTGCAGTCCTTTGTGTAGAGTTGAGACTTTGTAAGCTTACCGCTAAAACACAATAGCATGTCCACTGATGTCAGTCTTGTTCAGATCATCTTTAGGCAGTCATGCCAGTGAGGTTGCATGGCTGTAAGTGCTGACATTCATAGAAGACACCTTCTCACAGAAAATGCTCTGGTCCTCTCTTGTGTCTTTTATAAACAATCAGAATTAACTTCTTCTTCCTTTTGTTTTGGTTTTTTCTGTTTCTGTTCTGAAAACTCAACTGTTTTCTCTTTGAACATGCTCCTGTATGCTTCCCTCCATTCTTTCCTTCCAAAGCACATAACTTACTACCTAGTGAAGTTTCTTGGGCTTCTCTCTACCCTCTTAATTTTTTTGGAAAATGTGGTTATATATACACAGATTACATTTAGGGAGATATTTCATTATTTTACTAAAATAAACCATTTATTTTTATTGTTTCATTTAATGTTCTTAATATTTGTGAGTATTTAAATGCTTACCTTACAATCTGTTTCTGCTTACTTTTCATTGACATTTTAACATCATGTGGGGGATTTTCTCTGTTAGTTATTTTTCTTGTTGTAAACAAATATCCAGTAAGAAGCAACCAGAGTGAGCAAACTTGGCTTGAGGTTTGAGTGTACAGTCCATTATGGCAAGAAGGGCGTGGCTGAGGGACTGAGACAGCTGATGAGATTGTGACTGATGTCAAGAAGTGGAGACAGAGGAGTGTTGGTGTTCTTTCTCTAGCCTTCTCTATTTCATTTCATTTACTCTAGGACCCTGGCCCATGGGATCTTCCCCCTTCACTTAAACCTGTCATGAAAAACCTCACAGACCTATCCAGAGGTGTGTCTCTTAAGTGATTTTAAATCCAGCCAAGGTTGCAGTCAAAATTAATCATCACGATATTATTCTACCATTGCTTCTTTAAGGATTCTATGGTTTCCTGGAAGTACTTTCCAAAGGTTTTTTTTTTCTTTATTGTGTATACAGTGTTCTGCCTGCATGTATGCCTTCAGGCCAGAAGAGGGCACCAGATCTCACATAAAAGGGCACCAGATGCTGTCTTTTGGCACAAACTCTAATCCTTTGGTAACCAAGGGATCCTGCTAAGGCTTTAACTCCTTAGTACCCCTGGTTTGTTCTTGTGTCTCCAGTGGTCTGCCTGAGGACAGATCACAGACATAGAAAGATGTAGTTGGCCATGTGCCACATCTGTTAGCTTAAAATTTTGGTTGGCATAGATGTTCAGTTAAAGTGCTTGGCAGGTCAGTGCTTGGATTAGTAACTAGGTCCTGGGAAGAAAGAAGACAATAAAGAAATTTTAAAGAGCTGTTTTGTTGCATTATACAAAGCACTGACCCTGTGTGGTAGTTTTGTGGGTGGCAAATTCCTTCCAGACACCCTCCAGTAGAAGAAGCCAAAGATAGCAACACACTGAAGGAGACAGTGGAGTCACCTGAAACACTGTGGAGATCTACACTCACTTATAGGCTTGGGGACAGAAGATTTGTTTTTTTTTTTTTTTTTCTTCATCAGAGTCAGACAACTCTGTACTTCAAAGTAGAAGTTGGGATAGGGCAAAGGTGGCTCAGAGAGTGAAATGTTTCACACACACACACACACACACACACACACACACACACACACTAAGTTAGAAGAAGGGAAGATGTTTTGTAACCAAGGAGACATGCCGATTTAAAAACAGCATATCCAGTGTTATTGTTACAGGTTTAATGTGTAGTTGGAAAGTTGAGATCTCTATCCCAGAGTCCCAGAGACTCTCACCATCAGTAAAATTGTGGTCAATCTCTAAATTTGTTTCTACTGTGATGACGTTGAAGGGAAAGAGTATTACTTTTTAGTGAGAGGACATAGGTCTCTGATACTTGGAGTTTTGTTGGAAGATACCTCCAATTACTGGGCTTCCAATTACTGGGTAGGAGCATCTACATGAGCCACAAATCCAGAATCACACAAGTGGGCAAAATGGTCCTACTCTTCAACAAACAAAAAAAGTGAAGAATAAGAAGAACCCTAATCAAGAAGCAATTTTAATAATCGAGGATCTAGGTTAGGAACACGTTAGTTACATTTATGTCTCACATGATTCT